TTTCCCTCGGGAGAGCTCAGCCGTTGCCAGCGGCTGCTCCCTCCCCGGAGATGCTGCGCTGGCTGCAGCAGGCGCCCGTTCCCCTGCAGTCACACCGCCAGCCCCGTGCAAAGCACGGCTTTAGCAGGGCTCAGCTCCAGGCTGCTGCTGAGCAGAAGCAGCTTTGTTGCGCTGCGAAGATCCCTCAGCGTCTCTTAGCAGCTGGGCAAGTGTCTTGATTGAGGCACTCGGCGCAGCGAGGGTTCACAGGCAGGCAGGTCTGCTGGCCAAAGCCCACCAAGAGCCAGTTTATCTCCCGCCAGTGATCCCTGCAGTGAGAAGAAAACATGAGCTTTCCAATACAGCTGCTCGGAGGGGTTAAAGAACAGCCCGTGCTTTTAAATGGCTCCCTTTCGCCTGCTGCCTGTTCCTCCTGGCTTCCCAAGACGCCGGGAGGCGGGTCCCAGCCTCCTGCTAAGAACAGCCCTCCTGACCTTTCCTGATGCCTCTGAACTGGGGGGGGAGCAGAGGACAGACACACGAAGCGCCTGCCGTCAGTCTCTTGTGCTAAGGCAGGTGCCAGAAGTGGAGATGCAACAGTGTACCCATCAGCTGGCACTGATGCTGAAGATCAAGCATCAATGAAGGCCAGAATCCAGCAATGGTCTGACGCTGCTGTGGCCTTCAGGCTCAGCAAGGTCCTGCGGAGAAAAGCACCTGGCTTGGATCACGGTAAGACACGAAGCGCCTGCCGTCAGTCTCTTGTGCTAAGGCAGGTGCCAGAAGTGGAGATGCAACAGTGTACCCATCAGCTGGCACTGATGCTGAAGATCAAGCATCAATGAAGGCCAGAATCCAGCAATGGTCTGACGCTGCTGTGGCCTTCAGGCTCAGCAAGGTCCTGCGGAGAAAAGCACCTGGCTTGGATCACGGTAAGCTTGTCAAGGCAAGAACTGGGCATCAAGACCTCCAGGTACCTTCAGCCTGTTTGTGATCCTGTGCACGTGGGTGTCCACAGCTAGGAAGGGAGAGCCCAGAGTTTAGGCGGCGGCAGACACAGCTGAGCGGAGAGAGCACAGCCAAAAGCTGCCCGTCGCGGCACAGCAGGCACAGGGCCCCGCGCGGGCAGGTGGAACGGGAGGGGAGGCTCCTTCCCAGAACAAACGTCCTGCTTTCTTCCTAGGCCCGGAGCCAGAGGCGAGACGGGACGGGTGTGTGGCACCCCGCGACGCGCTGGCGCAGCCGGACCCAGGCTTCCTTCCAAGGCTGGGCTGGTCGGCT